GGCAGCGGCTGAATCGGGACGCCTGAGGCAGAGCAGCTGCGATGCTGCCGGGTTGCTCCAGTAGCGCCGAGGAGCCGCGCTACTGGAGCAACCCAGCAGTACCCCAGCTGCTCTGCCCCAGGCGTCCCTAAGTCAGCCACTGCTGAAACTGACCAGCAGCTGACTACAGGAAGCCCGAGGCAGAGTTGCTCTGCCCCAGGCTTCCTGGAATCAGCCGCTGATCAGTTTCAGCAGCAGCTGACTTGGGGACGCCAAGGTTTCTTAAGTTGAATCTGTATGTAAGTCAGAACTGGCGTCCAGATTCAGCCGCGGTTGAAACTGATCAGTTTCAGCAGCAGCTGACGCCAGTTCCGACTTACATACAGATTCAACTTAAGAACAAACCTACAGTCCCTATCTTGTACGTAACCCGGGGACTGCCTGTATAGCAACACTTCTGAAGTATTGAGATTCCTGGAAGTAGTTAATATTTTTACTAAGTGAACATGAGTTTAAATAATTTAATGTAACATTAATAGGGAAAATGTAAAATTCAGTGGAATAAAGGTTTTGTTTTATTGCAGAAAGACAGATTTTAATTTGGAAAAGCAACACAAACAACAAAGGAGACATTGATATTCCTAGTGAAAAAGTGATGTCATTTCAGGTCAGATAGTCTCACTGAGCACAAGTTGCTTAACATTAGGGTGGATACTCATTGCTGAAATCAACTGAAGTTAGGACTCTAAATACCTTTGAGGACCTGGGCTTAAGTGACTTCCTTAAGGTTACACAGTGAGTCAGCACCAAAGTTGCTAGATTTTTTTTGAGACCTGACATCATGTTCCATAGTGTGATCACAAGGCAACACTGCTTTTTCTAATAAGCTGATAAAATAAATTATTTATACTTACATGTTCCCCATATTAATCTCAATAGGCAAATAGTCCCTATACATGCTACAGTTCTCACAGCAATCCCTCATATTGTCCTGTCAAGAAACAGAGTTTGCCTGTCCCTCAACCACCTGCAGAAAATGGGGTTCACTTCAAAAACAGATGGGTTCTCAGCCAGGTGGGCAGGGGAGGGCTGTCTATATAAACATCTGCAAAAGCGGCGAGGAGTCCTGTGGCACCTTATAGACTAACTAAAGTGTAGGAGCATAAACTTTCGTGGGCAAAGACCCACTTTGTCAGATGCATGGCTTATGCTCCTACACTTCAGTTAGTCTATAAGGTGCCACAGGACTCCTCGCCACTTTTGCATATTCAGACTAAGATGGCTACCCCTCTGCTATATAAATATCATCTATCTCCACAGCACTGGAGCCCCTGCACCTGCCTGATTTAACTAACAGGACAGTAAAAATATTTAAATGGTTTCCAAACTGTGGAGCTAGCCTTCCTGGGGGGGGGAAAGAGAGAAACATTCTTGGAGGGGGGCACAGTAGGCAGGGAGTACCACCCAGTTCTGCTCTGCCACCAGCTCTTCTCCAGCCCAGCCCTAGCCAGGGCCCCAGATCCTGCCAGCAGCTCTGCATTCAGTCACTGACCCAGCTGCCAGCCCCAACCATGGACCAGTTGCAGCATCCCAGTCCTGGCTATGACCTCAACTCAGCCCACAGCCTCAGTCCCTGACCACAGCTCTATTCCAAGCCCTGGCCCCCATCCACAGCCCAGCCACAGTTCCACACCTGGCCTCACTGCTGGGACCAAATCTGTCCTAGCTGCAGCTAGGGATGTTAAATTGCATTTAATTGAATTTCCATCGACTACTCAATTACTGAATAAGGGGGGGAAACTACAAAGCAGCAGCAAAGTTAGTTCTTGGCTCCAGGAGTTAACCCTGCTGCAGCTCTGCCTTTTAAATGTATTAAGAGCCTGGTGCCAGGCTCTTAATACATTTAAAAGGGAGAGGCGTAGCAGGGGGACTGGGCGCAAGCCAGTTCCACCCCCTCCTGCTGCCTCTGCCCTGGAGGCTTTTAATACATTTAAAAGGCAGAGGCACAGTGTCTGGGACTGGGAACTAGACAGGAATCAGCTGATTCCTGGCTCACAGCTGGACCTCCCCACTATGTCTCTACCTCCCATGCTCCCCTGCGGACACAGTGCTAGCTTTTAAGCTGGCTCCCCGAGCACCAGCTCCTGCTCCCCTGCCTTGCTGCCCCTCTCTGATAGAGGCAGCAAGGGCGGGGGGTGGGGGGGAGCGACTAGCTGAGTTACTACTCGACTACCTGATATAAGCATACATCCCTAGTTGCAGCCCAAAGCTCAGCCCTGGGCTCGTCAGGCTGCAGCTCTAGCCTCAACACCCAACCACAGCTGTGGCCCAAGGCTCCCAGGGAAGTGTGAACACAGATGCAAAGGGGGGAAAGAGAGTGAGTTGTAAAAAGTTTGGAGACTATTGCACTGGGAATTACCCTAGTGTTAATGGTGGAAACATCCTATACCACAGATTGCCTTTGACTCCAATAGACATGTCTTTTAGCACACAATCCCCAGGTGACCTGTTGCTTAACTCGGTCCACATTCCTACAAGATTTTAAAGTGCAATGGCAAGTATTTTAGGAGAAAAAACAAACAATATTTAAGATAATACTCTGGCCTCGGAGACACTCTGTACCACCCTCTGGCATCTACAGAGTTGCACAGGGTATAAGTTAGAGTAGAATGTAGCGACATGAATTACTAGAAAAGGATTCAAAATCTGCCTGCTTGGTTTAGTTGCATTTCAGTTAGAACAGCTGGCTTGGATTTAAACATTCCTCTCCAGTGTTTTCAACTCAGGTTCACAACTGGAAAATGAGGTTAAAAACGGGAAGTGACAAACAACTAACTCTTCCACTTTCATTGTCTAAGCTGAGTGAAATGCAAAAACAAAACAAAAAGCAAGCAGCATTAACGGCGAAAAAACGCATTTTTCAATCTTAATAATTTCACGTGCTATTTACAAAGCAGCTAATTTAATATGTAGGCGGCCTGACCCGGCGCTGGGCAGCCCTGCTGTGTAGCTTGCCCGATCACGATGCAACAATCGGGTCTGCGTGGTTCAAAGGGCCCCAGCGCCAGGCTAAGTGAGGGCAGCGCAGGGACGGGGCGGGGGCGCCCTGCAGCCCCCTGCTAACT